AATCAAGCAGAAATAATTAAAAATCTCTGATTGGTAAGAGAGGTCAAACCTTTTTGAAGCTAATGTCTCTGCACTGCTGCCGGTGCTGTTCAGTGAGGGTCACAGGAGGCTTTGACAGCATCTCTCAACATTAAGACAAGTTTTAGAGCAGATTTCTAAAACAAAAATATCTGAAAAAAGTTACACACTGTAGCTTTAACTGTGGAGCAAGTGAGGAAAACATACCTGAGATTTGAAGGTTCTTTATAAGAGATTTTTCTTTATTTCCTCATGAGTACACTAAAGTTTACTTCTGTGTTCTGTGTACATCCATTGTGCAACAAGTTATTCAAATCTTCAATATTTCACTTCTACAAGATTTCCAAAATCCCTCTGGTTCAGATTGGTCACGCCTCTGCTAAGACACAGAAGAGAGATCCAGATAAACAGATGTGTGTAGCTTACCACACAAGATCAAATCTCTTCTGAGGGGCTGATAGCAACGACTGCCTGTGACTGTAGTGCGTGAATTATATACAGTATTTTTAGAATATTCAACTTGACTACTCTTAAATTTGCCTTATTTTTGTTAATAATGTTGTGAAGACAGTCTTTTAATTTCTAATATAACTTACAGTAGGTTTATCATAATGTTTGTGACAGAAGAAAGGGCCAATGTGCCCAACATTTGATGCGTGAAACCAGAGGAAAACCAGCCTGCGCATAACAGCACATTTAATGATTAGATAATCAGTCTGTATTAAAGTGAAAGTCTCTCTTCATTCTGCACTATAAAATCTCCCATGGGAGTTTGGTCTAAATATGTCCAGTGGGCTTTTATTACCCTCCTCTCTAAGCAGGAATCCATGCTGAACCAACGTGTGCTAATTAAAGATGCTGTCATGCAGAGGCGTCAGTGAGCCAGTGGCTGAATATTATGGCTTTCTATAATATTGTAAGCCTCAAGATTTGTAAAATATGTCTGAATCTCTTTTTTCTATTTTTTAACGGCACATTCATGCAATATTTCAAATGCAGTTTTATTGATATGGCATTGTGAGATTTCCCGAGGCTTCACAAAAGACCTTCCTAAATGCTCCCACGGGATCATCATTTAGGAAAAACATGACTGCGTTCAGTGCTATGGAGACGTGTCCAGTTCACTGACTAACTAATGGAGGTGATGGAAGTGACACTGCATCTATAGCTTGGAGGACAAGAGGGATTTATTTATAGCTCATATATTCACAATGTTTGTATCCTCACCCATTCTCATCTGCTCATTATCAGTAGACCTCATTCACCTCTTCCACTGCCTTACATCCATCTGCCTTCTACTCTTTGCTTGCACTCTGACATCTAAAAAATAATAATAAAAAAATAAAAAAATCTATTGAATTACACTTGAAAGAAAATAACCTGTATGCATCCAGTGCCTCTCTATCATTGTTTATTTAGATGCTGATCTATATTAATCATTTCCTGACATGCTGTACTATTAAAATACCAACTTTAGAGGATTTTGTAGTCTTGGTGAACCTTTGTGCTCTTTGAGTGTTTTCTAGCAGTCACAAGGCAATTGCCACAGGGACAGATCTATTAAGATTGTGCAGTGTTATGCTCTAGTGCAAAGACACTAATTAGCATAGTGTTACACAGCAGCAAGGATCTTACATGTACAACTGGAATAACGCAAGCAACTTCCATTCATGTAATTCTAATGAATGCAATGAACTACAACCCCCAAACCAAGTTATACTGTGAATTAGACATACTGTTCTGCTTATAGTGTTGTCTGATTGCTGCAAGGAAGAAAATTCAATGGCAAGAATGCTAAATAAAATTCTAAACATTGGTAAAAACAACAGCTGAAAGAACTTTTTTGCCCTTGTTAGGTAACGTCATGATACCAACCTGCCTGTACCGACATATAGCATAACATCATCCCTTGAGACTGATACACATCATGTAGGGAACAGCATATTTATGTATTTGGCATGGAACTAACACAGTGCTGTGTGACACCCTACAAGTTTTAGTAGAATGCTGCATAATAATATGCTCTGCATACTATATTATGCCAGACACTGGAGGGAATTGCTACTGTGTAGTTTACAGCTTACAACAGCAGGTTATCACACAAGTGGTTTTCTGTGCATAAAATGCATCTGTCCTGGAGCTTCACTATGCAGTATATTGAAGTTTGAATTGAACATTAATAAGTGGCATTGCACAGCCCTTTATATTCTGTTAATTTACAGTTATATTTCTGTCAATAAGTATAAGGGGATTACATTGCTGCAACTTTTCAAGCCTGAAGCATCAGTTCATCCAATGTTCCCATCACCATTACAAGTCTCTGTCTGTTTATCTGTAATAATGTTCATCTCACTGTCCACACTGTTCTGGAAAGCAATATCCCACCAGAAACATGATGCATTTCTGTTTTTCTATTTGTGCCATTCACTTGCTGTCATTTTGTAAACCTTGTCCAAAGTCAAACAACAACTTTTTCTACAAAAGAAATCGGGTTAAAATTAAATTTAGCTTTAATTTAGGATAATGACTTCAGGTTTCTGTATGTAGTAATAGTGGCTAAGGTAGGGAATGTGTCAGCAAGGCTGGTAGTGTAGAGTGCAGTGGTAGAAATGTGTGTTGTACACATAGTCAGCTCTTTCCAAGTACAGTTGTGTGGGCAGCTAACATCAAGTCAGCTGTTCATAAGTTATTTGTGTTTACATGAATTAAAGCAAATGTTGAATCATGAGGAATAAAATTTCCTTGTTCTGCCAGTATGTGTCTTCTCATACCAGCAGCCCACGTGTAAGAGGATAGAGAGGTTAAGGTGTTCTTTGCTTGTGTATAAAAAATGTGGAGACATGTAGCCTGAACCGTGAGTAATAACAGCAATCTAAAAACAACAAGTTAAATGAGCTATAGAGTAAAAATCAAGAAGACACAAAGGCCTAAACAGATAAGTCAACCACCATCTAATGTCATTAAATAATACTAAAAGATAATGTAATGTAATGAATGACCTTTCTGTGTAATGATCTCACATGCATACATAGAAAATCTATAAATGATAATTTTACTATTCAAAATTATAAGCTCAATACCAGTAACATTCATTATTCAAAACCACTACACCTTAAACCTCATACAATACGTAACATCTAATTAGATTCCTTTGCAGCCGCTGCTTTATGCACCTTCACAGTGCTGCTCTCTGCTTTTACCTTCCTATTCAGAAACACTTCAATTTCAGTCTGTCTAAAGAAAATTAGCACCGTCCTTTCCATATGTGCCTTTGTAGACTAGCTCCCCATTGTTAATGGTCAAATCTGTAGCAGCAAAGCAGCTGCTGCAAACCTGAACACGAGAGCCGACAGGTGCCTGAGGGGAGTTAAATGAACATCTGAAAGCAGCATTGTTGTGAGAAATGAATATCCTTAGTTTAAGCATTATTCAGAGTGAGACCAGAAGAAAGCCCTGGGTCAAGGATGTGTCCCTTGACATATAGCGTAGTCAAAGTGTCTTAGGACAAAGACACATCTTTTAACGTTTTGGTATTGCAGCATAAGGAATTTGAAATCAAATAAGACTATAAGGGTAAAAGGCTGACTGTCAGCTTTAATTTAAGAGTGTTTACATTAGGTGACTCTTTTGAACAGTGAAGAACATTTTACCCCGAGAGGAAAAAACTTGCATCTGTTGCCCTGATTACATAGCACTATGCATAATGAGAGACCACGTCCTCCTAGACTGTCCACACGATATGAACATAAGCACCCTCAAACACCTTTAATTTGTCAGTTGTTGCCTTTACATGGATTGTAAAGATAATTCTAGTCATGAACTCAGACACGAGGATATTTAAGTACAGTCAATATCTAATACATGTTTCATCAAGAGTGACAACAATCCAGATTGAAATGACTTGCTGTTGTTGAAAGAAGTTTTAATTTAAAAGTGATCTTTGGCCATTGAAAGCCATACTATAGTCCTGTCATAGTAAGCTGCATTTGCTCAGTGGTTGGGTTGATCTGTTCACCTTCTTCGAATTTGTCCCCCCATTAAATGGCCATTAGCACTTTGTCTTCTGGACAGTATAAAAAGAGAGGATGGGTTTGATTAGAATTAAGGATGGGGAGAGGTTCACCCCTCTGTGTGACAAATAGTTGAACGATTTAAGAATAATGCTTCAGAGCATAAAGTTGCAATGATTTGGGATTTTCAACATCTAGAGTTATTATATTTTTAAAAGATTAGTAGAATTTGGAGATATCAAGGGAGGGCTGCTATTATAGTAAGAAATAATATATGTCTCAGAGGTAGAAAAGATCTCTGATTTTTTCTTTGACAAAGGGAAAATATCTGTGGTTTCAATTTTCAAATCAACATAGGGGTCATAGGGGTTTTGGAAAACTTTAGAACTGAATGAGAAGGGCTTGAGCTAATTCAGAGAAAATAGTGCCTCACATGATCCTCTTAAACTTCCCAACTTCTTAGTTTTGCAATTAAACAGCGAGTCTCTCAGTATCGTAACCCTTAACAGGTGTGTATAATGTCTGTCCAGATGTTCATCATCCCTGAGAAGCGTATTTAAGAGTATTATGTTTGAGAAGAGGACAATCTCAGTAAAAGAAGCTTTTGCAGTAACTCGTGGTAATAGGAAGACTAAAAAGGATTTCGTACAAAGTATAAACTAGATTCTTACTATAGCTGCTTTAAGAATGAGTGTTCCTCATCATTATCAGTGATTATTAGAAGATAGGAGACTAGATTGTCATTAGTGCAAAGATACTAACATGTAATTCTTCACTGTATATAAAAGGAAGAAACCTCTATCTTGTAATACCACAGAGTTTTTGTCTTTTTCGAATGCAGTAAGCTTGATGGTTTTTTTTTTTCATTCATGCAGTTCAACAGTAATTATTTAGTTTACTCAATGCTGAATTTTTGACATGATTTTTAGTAAATTCGTTTCTTCTTTCTCTCTATCTTATGTTCTCTTATAGGTCCATTGCTGTGTGATGGACGACTGACATACCTCCTCTTTCCTCTCCTTCTCCTCTTGCGGGCTCCCCTGTTGTTCAGCTTTGGTGAGCGCACCTGCCCCAGTAGCTGTCGATGTGAGGGGAAAACTGTCCATTGTGATTCATCTGGATTCTTAGATGTCCCAGAAAACATCTCTGTGGGCTCCCAGGGCCTCTCATTGCGTTACAATGAACTCCACACCCTGCTACCTTATCAATTTGCTCACCTTAGCCAACTTCTCTGGATATATTTGGACCACAATCAGATTTCAGCTGTTGACAGTCGAGCATTCCAAGGGGTCCGCAGGCTTAAAGAACTAATACTGAGCTCCAACAGGATCACATCCCTGCACAATTCAACATTCCATGGAATTCCCAATCTTCGTAATCTGGACTTGTCCTACAACAAATTAGAAGTTCTGCAGCCAGGTCAATTTCATGGTTTACGAAAACTACAAAACCTACATCTACGCTCAAATGGTCTTTCCAACATCCCAATTCGAGCATTCTTGGAGTGCCGAAGTTTAGAGTTTCTTGATTTGGGCTACAATCAAATCAAAGCTCTTACCCGCACCACCTTTCTGGGGCTACAGAAGCTGATGGAGTTGCATTTGGAGCATAACCAGTTCTCACGGATCAACTTTTTTCTGTTTCCACGCTTAGCCAATCTGAGATCACTCTATCTGCAGTGGAACCGCATTAGGGTGGTGAACCAGGGCCTTCCATGGACTTGGTATACACTGCAGAAACTTGATCTGTCTGGAAATGAAATCCAGACCCTGGACCCAGCTGTGTTTCACTGCCTGCCCAACCTTCAAGTCCTCAACCTAGAATCCAACAAATTGTCCAATGTGTCTCAGGAGGCGGTGTCAGCCTGGATTTCACTGACCTCCATCAGCCTCGCTGGGAACATGTGGGATTGTGGAACTGGCATATGCCCCCTTGTGGCTTGGTTGAGGAATTTTCGGGGCAGTAAAGACACCACTATGATATGCAGCAGCCCAAAATATCTCCAGGGAGAAAAAATTATGGAAGCCACAAGGAGCCATGGTATTTGTGAAGAAACTGATTACATTCTAACTGAGACACCTTCACCAATGTCAGAGC